TATCGGGGAGTTGTTGATGGAGGGACCTGGCGGGGGGCGGGATCTAGAAGGAATGAGGGGTCGCCAGAGGCGGGATTTATTCAGAGGGCGTGGTTCGACTTGAGGAGGGGCGGTGGGCAGGAATTTGAGGTTGGGGCGAAAGTGAGAAGTACCAGTGGGAGCTCAGAGTGGAAATGAACTGAGTTGGTGAGAATATAGTGGTGGCCACCCGAACCTGACTTCCTATCAACAGGGTCCATCATGGGGCTTTGCAAGTGCCCCAAGAGGAAGGTGACCAACCTGTTCTGCTTTGAACACCGGGTCAACGTCTGCGAGCACTGCCTGGTAGCCAATCACGCCAAGGTGGGGCCTTCAGGGTCACAACTGAGTAGGCACTGGGTGGTCTGGCAGTATCAACTTCCTTCAAACCCTTGAGGGCCTGGTGCTAGAGTATAAAGCTCCAGGAGGGCAAGGACTTGGTTATTTTGTTCACTACTATATCCTCAGTAACAAGAGAGGTCTGGCACACAGTTTGTGCTCAATAAGTGTTAATTGATTGAACAACCGAAAGAATGAGTCTCCTCTGTGACTAAAGAAAAAGAGGCAGTTGGGCCTTGGAATGATAGGCCCTGGAGCCCCAGCTCCAGTTATGACATCTCTCTTCCACTCCAGTGCATCGTCCAGTCTTACCTGCAATGGCTCCAAGATAGCGACTACAATCCCAATTGCCGCCTGTGCAATGTACCCCTGGCCAGCCGGGAGACAACCCGCCTCGTCTGCTATGGTGAGGCCTGGGCACCTTGGGGGGATCAGGGCATCCTGAGGGCCCAGCTTGGTGACTGGTTTCCAGGCCCTCCTCAAGCAGTGGTACATTGAGTCCCCCAAAGCCCTGGAGGCCAGAGCACCAGATTCTAGTCTTTTTCTTTACTGCTATGTAAGCTCAGACAAGTAATTTTCTTTTCTAGGCTTCAGTACCCTTTCCTAAAAAGTAAAAATTAAAGCTCCTAGTTCTTGCCTTGCCAATTCTGAAATGTTAGGCGAGAGCCAGTCAAGCTTGTGGGTGTGGCTGTAAGCAGTAGCTAACTAGACCAGCACAAGGCTTTCTGATATTAAGGGTCATTACTGATTCTAAGATTAAACAGAGAGGAAGTAAGTTTTCTTTATTAAAGTTATCTAAAGTGGGGACCAGCAGTTGGTGTAATGGCTATGTCACTGGACTCCCATGTAGCTGACCGCAGTTCAAGTCCTGGACCCGGTGACTTAAACTCACGCCAGGTGTGTGTGCGTGCATGTCCAAGATCCTGAGAGGAGAATGGAGGAGAAGGGATTATGGCATGGCCATTCCCAGGGGGTGATTTCTCGCTTTCTGTCTCTCTGTCTCTCTCTGTCTTTCGGGCAAGCACACGCACCCTATAGCAAAAACCTCTAAAAAATAAAAAATAGATAAAGTTATGTAAAATAAACCTGTAGACACTTGTAGCTTGACTTTGACCTGAGTCTGGTGTAAGAGCTGCAAGTCTAGATTTTTTTTTCTTTTTCTCTTTTTTTTTTTTTTTAAGATTTTGCCGCAGGGCATGTGTGCTCCTGGGAGAGACAAAGACAGACAGAGAAAGGGAAAGGGAGAAGTCACCCCCCAAGGGGAAATGATCATGCCACTATCCCTTCTGAACTCTCCTCCAGGGATATTGGGCACACTTTCATGCATGCCTGGCATGAATTTCAAGCCACCAGAACTTGAACCATCGTTGGCCATATGGGAGTCTGGTGCCTTTAACCACCATGCCACCTCCTGGTCCCAAAAGTGTCTTTCTTTCTGTCTATAGTAACAGAGACAGAGGGACAGGTATCTTCAACAGGGTCTTCATAATGCAGTCCAGTCCCAGCTTTAGCTAGCCCTGGATCATAAGCATGGGGAGGTCTCCAGATGCATCCCAGAACCTTCCTATGTAGGTCAGCCTTTTAGAGTGTTAAAGTCCCTGTCCAGCCACAGCTCCAGTTTTTGAAGGAGCTAGCCCCGTGTGTATGTTTTTCAGCATATGTGTGTGTACTTGTCTGAATTTAATGCATATAATGTCTTTACATGAGTGTTAGAGTTTTTTCATTAGTACTTGTGAGTTAGTGATTGTGTAAATGGATGTTTGTGATCATAGGAATACAGGTGCATGCAGGAGAACAAATGGGTGATGGTGCTTGAGTGTCAGTAGACATTTAAGTTTACAGCTGTATGTGTGTCAGGGCTAGTGTGCACATAATGTAGAGATAGAAAATGGCCATTGAGTTTTATTGTGTGTTTATAAGCACGTGCATATTAGTGTCCTTGGCTGTGTATATCTAGAAACTTTTTCTGAAATGTGTTGATTGGCTGGTAGCCCAAGAAACATGAGGAGTCCAGGTCCAGAGAGGACTTGCTGAAAGGGGAGGTGGTATTTTCTTCTTACCCTAATCCCTGTGGGCTAGCATCTGCCTTGACTTAGTCAGATGGTGATAGCCAAGAAGGCTGAAGTCTCAGGGAACACTGATGAAAGAGACCTAGGGTGAGTTTAGCAAGGTGAACACTCTGAGCGTCCCTGTGTGTGTCTGTATAGCCTTATAATGGGGCTGGGGGCTGTCGCCGGGCAAAGAGCCCTAAGTGTCCCCTTTCTCACGTCTCTCTTCCCCTGTTTCATGGGTCAAAGATCTCTTCCACTGGGCCTGTCTCAATGAACGTGCTGCCCAGCTACCCCGAAACACAGCACCTGCTGGCTACCAGTGCCCCAGCTGCAATGGCCCCATCTTCCCCCCAGCCAACCTGGCGGGCCCAGTGGCCTCCGCACTGAGAGAGAAACTGGCTACAGTCAACTGGGCCCGGGCAGGACTGGGCCTCCCTCTGGTGAGTACTTCTGTGTATCTGACCATTCATTCGCCCTGGGTATGTGGAAGTAGCGCTGGGCAAGTCATGACCCAGGTTTCTTCCTCCAGATCGATGAGGTGGTGAGCCCAGAGCCTGAGTCCCTCAGCACCTCTGACTTCTCTGATTGGTCCAGCTTTAATGGTGAGTGGTGGCCTCTGCCTGCTACTCGGGTCCTTACCTCCCTGGGCTTCTGACAGCCTTCTTTTTGCCCACAGCCAATGGTTCCCCTGGACAAGAGGAGACAGACAGTTCTACCACTGCCCCAGCTTTCTACAGCCAGGTTCCCAGGCCCCCTGCATCCCCCAGCCGGTCAGAGCAACACACGGTGATCCACATGGGCAGCCCTGAGCCCTTGACTCATGGTGAGCCAGGACTTACCTGGGCCTAAGAAGGACATAGCAGGTGGGTGGTTTGTATAGAGGGAGCTCAGGATCCAGAGACCCACCCAGAGTAACCCTTCCCCACTCCAAGCACAGACATTCTCTCCCCATAATTCCGAGTTGCTCTGTTAGACTGGGACGATAGGAACTCCCCCTGTACCCCAAAACTGGACCACTTTTTCTGAACCTATTGATGCTGGTGGCTACACCCCTGCAGACCCAAGGAAGGTGTATGACACGCGAGAAGACGACCGGGCACCAGGCCTCCATGGAGATTGTGATGATGACAAGTACCGTCGCCGCCCTGCCCTGGGCTGGCTGGCCCAGTTGCTCAGGTACTAAGTCAGGCAGGGAAGGGTGCCAAGAAAGGGAGAGGAGAGTAAATGAGAGTCAGAGACTCTGGGTTGATCAATTTAATGACAAAAGGGGCTTGTTCTAGGCATTAATGGCATCTGGTGTCAGGGCTTTGCAGGGAGGCCTAGGTGGGCAGTAAAAAGCTTGGCATGCTCCTCTTTGGAGCTGTCTCCTGGCCACCAACACAGGAGGTTTGGACTCAGACTCTTTGAGGCCTCCGTCTGCTCTGAGCCCAGCTGATCTATCTTTGAAACACCGCCCTACTCCTGACATGGTGTGCTTTCCGGAACAGTCAGTACCTCTGCTGGTTTATGCTGCAGGGATAGTGACCAGGGCTCCTCGCTGGGCCATGGGGGCTGTTAGGGGCTGGGGGTCTGACCTGACTTTCCCCTCATCCCCCCCAGGAGCCGGGCTGGGTCCCGTAAGCGACCGCTGACACTGCTTCAGCGGGCAGGGCTGCTGCTACTCTTGGGGCTTCTGGGTTTCCTGGCCCTCCTTGCCCTTATGTCTCGCCTGGGCCGGGCTGCAGCTGACAGCGATCCCAACCTGGACCCACTCATGAACCCTCACATCCGTGTGGGTCCCTCCTGAGCCTTGCTCTGGCTGGGCCAACCTAGGACCTGGGTCCTGAAGGAAGTGGGGAGGCCTGGGGGCTCTTCCTCTCCACTTCTCTCCTTCAAGCCTGAGACACTAAGAATCCAGGCCCAAAGCCAAGCCCACCAGAGTGACTGCAGACTGGGCCTGGAATCCAGTAGGTCAAGCATTTGTCTTAACCTGCTTCTCCCTGGGTCTCCAGCCATCCACCCTCCCACCCCCAAGAAGGAGCTGACAGGTGGAAATAAACAACAGACTTTATTAAAACTCCTGAAGCAGCCTTTTCCTTCTCCCTTCTCAGTCCCATCCCCAGTCCCCAGGCCTCAATGGGTCTCCTCTCGGTACTGGATGGCCAGAAACTCCAGGGACAGGCGGTTGAAGAACATGACTCCATTGAGCACTGGGCCAAGGAGAGAATCCTATCAGCCCAGCACTCCCCAGTACCCTTCCCTGCCCCCTTCTTGCCATGTCTCAGGATTCCAAAGTTTCCCATTCATCTTAGTGTACACCTCTTCCTCCCCACTCCCCACTCACTCAGGATGGTCAGGGCGAAGCACCGGAAAAACTTGTCATCTGTCATCTCAGCATAGAGGGTCCCCATGGCAGCCCAGCAGATGCTGATCACGTGGGAAAACTGTAGGCCCATCCGGGGGGGAGAGTGGCCTCCTGACTCAACAGTGGGGTTTTGGCAGCCCTCAGCCAGCCAGCCAGCCAGCCAGCCCTTAAGCCGTGCCCTGGGCTTACCATCAGAACCACCGTGTACTGGAAACTCATGAGATCATAGTGATGGGTGATGTAGAAGTTGTGCACGTCACTGGCAAAGACTCCCATGTGTATGCAGAAGAGCAGCAGCGACGCCATGGTGAGCATCAGGCCATGTGGGAAGAAGAGCACCATCAGGCGGTCCCGCCACCGCATACTGGCCGCAGCTGACCCTCAGGTGAGATGAGTGAGCTTGGCATGCAGGCACTGCTCAGGAAAAGCAGCAGACCCCTCCAGTTCTGGAGGATCCAGTTTGGGAAAGCAGTCGGGAATTCTAGAACCAGGACACTGGAGTGGTCAAGATTCTAGAACACAGGCTGATTCCAGCAAATACAGGGATGTTGCGTGGTGGCTGGAGGGGTGCTTGAAATTGTGCAGGGGTACAAACCAGCGGGAGTCATGGTATTGAAGTTCCATTCCTCACTCTTGGCACTTTGTGCACACCTGAATGGTCCCACAAAGGAGGTAGTGTGGGTATATTCTACAGACAAGCTCTGAAAAGTTGACGGCCATCGCCTAGATCCACAGGAAGTCATAGGCAGATGAGAGATTAGGGCCAGGTGTGTGTTGGAAGGCATTCCCAGGTGAGGGAGACCTGGGCTGGAACCCCAGGTTCCAAGTGTTTGTTCCACCTCCAGGTAGGACCAGAGCTAAGGGAAGGGAAGAGACAACAGCTTCTCTATAGCTAGAATGGGACAACCGCCCTGCTCTCCCCAGGTATGGCCCAAGCAATATCATGCTTGTCCATCCTCTCTACAGATGTCCTTCCAGGATTCCAGGCCAACCAGTGTGTGTGCCCTTTTGACACCTTTCAGTGCTTAGAGCATGTTCACACCCAACACTTCCATCATTCTAAGAGTCCTATGAAAATGCAGGCATGAATCCTATTTTATTTTATTTTTTGAAGTTTATTCATTCAGTGAGAGAGACAGAGGAGAAAGACATTGTCCCCAACAGGATCTTGTTGCCACAATCCACCCCAGCCTCAGCTAGCCCCGATCATGAGCACGCGTGTACATTGTACTTGAAGTCTCTGGATGATAACCCAGAACTCACCCGTGTGGGTCAGCCTCATGGAATATTGCATTTTAACTGCTGCACACCACTTGGCCCCCTATTTTATCTTGAGTCTGAGGCACAGAGAGCTCTGGCCTTATTCAGGCTTTCCCAGCAGTGAAGGAGGAGTCAGTACTGAAACATCCCAGTCTGTCTGAGGCTGTGTTAAAGATCAGGGACAGGGGCCAGCAGGTGGCATGCTGGTTAAAGCATTGGGCTTCCACGTAGCCAACTACTGGACCTGGTGGCTTGCTTTCTCACTTTTTCTCTTTCTCTCTGTCCAGTGAGCACCCATGCCCTATAGCAAATAATAATAATAAATTATTCTTTAATAAAAGAAAACAAGGACAAACAAGGAAGAAACAATTTCCTCCTTACATATAAGAGGAGAGAGGGCTCCAGGGATCTCAACAGAAGAAACTGGAAAAACTTCTGGAAATGGTGTAAAGGGACACACAAACTCCCAGGGATTGAAATAGGAGAAGAGAACTTGATCTGTGCCACCCCATTGCTTCTGCACAACTGTCTGCCCCAAAAATTCAGTCCCAAGTCAGGCCAAGACCTAAAATCTCCTTCCAGGCAGCAGAATTAGAGCTGGCACCCACTATCTGTGCTTGTCCCATCTGTCTTCTGTCACAACAGTCCCTCAGATCCCTCCTAACCAAATTAAAAGGGTAAGACCCAAGGCCAGTAGATGGCATAGTGGTTAAGGCGCTGGATTCCCACATGGCTGACCATGGTTGATTTTTGAACCTGGTGGCTTAAAAATGCCAGCATGTGTGTATGTGTGCCTAAAATCCTGGAGATGAGTGGAGGAGGGATTGTGGCGTGGCCATCCTCCCTGAGGGGCAGTTTCTCACTTTTCCTCCCACTGTCTATCTCTTTCTCTGGTGAGCGCTTGAACCCTATGCAAAAACCATAGCCATGGGGGCTAGCAGGTGCGTGATGGTTAAGGCACTGGACTCCCACATGGCTGACTGCAGTTCAAGTCTTGGACCTGGCAGCTTGCTTTCTCACTTTCCCCTTTTGTGTCTTTCTCTCTCACTTGTTAAATTGAAAAATAAATAATAATAAATAAAAATTAAATAAAGAAATAATTTTAAAAGAACAAAACATAGCCATAGTCCCACTGTTGAAACAGATGTTTGTATCTCAGTTCTTATTTGAACACAAATGAACTTTGAAACACTAAAGTTCCTAGTTCAATCCCCCCCCCCTTTTTTTTTTTATTTTTTGCTATTGGGTGTGTGCAATCACCTGGGAGAGAGAGAGGGAGGGAAAGTAAGAAACCATCACATCCTAGAGGGATGGCCACTTTGCAGTCCCTTCTCCTGTTACCTCTTTGGACTTTGGGCATATGCACCCGGCATGATCCATGCTTTGCTTTGCTTTACTTTTCTAAGGTTTTTGCCATAGGGTACATGTATTGGCTGGAAAGGAGAGAGAGAGAGAGAGAAACAGAGAGAGAGAGACTGAGAAGTTACCCCCCAGGAGGGTTGGCCACGCTGCAATCCCTTCTCCATTCTCCTGGGATTTTGAGCACACACATACACACACACACACACACGTTCGCTAGTTGTTATTTTTCAAGCTGCCAGGTCCAGGACTTGAACTGTGGTAGGCTATGTGGGTGTCTAGCACCTTAACCACTACACCACCTGCTGTCCCCTGATCTGTGTTTCTCAAGCCCCCAGATCCGAGACTCAAATTGCATGTTCAGCAATGTGGGATCGAGCTGCCTTAACCTCCATGCCATTTGCTGGCTCACAATGCCATTTAAAAAACTATTCAAGTGGGCTGGCAGGCGGCGTGGTGGTTGAGGGTGCTGAATTCCCACATGGACAACCACAGTTCAAGTCCCAACCTGGTGGCTTACTTTCTCACTTTCCTTTTCTCTCTCTCTGGTCAAATAATAACAACAAATGTAATTAAGTGAATAAGTTCTTTTAAAAAAACTATTCAAGGGACCAGCAGGTAGCATAATGGCTATGTCGCTGAACTCCCATGTAGTCGACCGTGGTTCAAGTCCCAGACCCGGTGGCCTAAATTCACCCTGGGCGCGTGTGTGTGCGTGCCCAAGATCCTGAGAGGAGAATGGAGAAGAAGGGATTGCAGCGTGGCCATCTCCCCAGTGGGGTGATTTCTCGCTTTCTGTCTCTCTCTGTCTCTCTAGCGAGCACACATGCCCTGTAGCAAAAACCTCTCAAAAAAAAAAAAAAATCTACTGGGACCAGCAGTTAGCGTAATGGCTATGTCGCTGGACACCCATGTAGTTGACCACGGTGTTCAGGTCCCGGGCCCGGTGGCTTAAAGCTCACACCAGGCGCGTGTGCGTGCGTACCCAGGATTCCGAGACGAGAATGAAGGAGAAGGGATTGTGGCATGGCCATCCCCCCTGGGGGGTGATTTCTCGCTTTCTGTATCTCTGTCTGTCTGGCGAGCATATGCGCCCTATAGCAAAAACCTCTCCAAGAAAAAAATTCTCTTCTAAAGTAATTGAGTATATTCTTGTAAACGATGTGCATAATACACAAGCATGCAGAGGAAAAAATGTAACAGTCTCCTTCAGAGGAAACTTCACAAGTTTGGTGAATCAAGCATCTTTTTTGATTCCTTCTTTATGTAACCTCATTAACCTAGGGTTGTTGGAAAAGTTGTCATGTGTTTTTCTGTTGTTTCATGTGTCATGACTTTTCTGATGACCCATGTAAATCATACATGCATAGTTTTAAAAACATGCAGGACTCCCATGTAGTCGACTGTAGTTCAAGTCCCGGACCTAGTGGCTTAAACGCATGCTGGGCACATGTGTGTGCGCGCCCAAGATCCCCAAAAGGAGAATGGAGGGGAAGGGATTGCAGCGTGGCCATCCCCCCCGGGGGGTGATTTCTCACTTTCTGTCTCTCTCTGTCTCTCTTTCTGGTGAGTGCACACGCCCTATAACAAAAACCTCTCAAAAAAAACTTTTTTTCAAGGCCAACCCCGTGGTGGCTTTAAAAGAGCCATATTCCACATGGCCAACTAAGTGGTTCAAATTCCTGACCCAGCAGCTTGAGAAACATGCCGGGTACGTGTGCTTGCATTTCCCAAATCCCAACAAGATGGGACAATGGGGAAGAAGGGATTGCAACATGACCGTGCCGCATTGGTGAATGCCCTTTCTCTCTTGTTCTGTTTGGTGGACAGGCGTGTGTGCCCCTGGTTAAAAGAAAAGATAAAAAGCATTTTTAAAAATCACTTTTCTGGGGGCTGGCAGGTGGCGTGGTGGTTAAGGGCTCTGGACTCCCATATGGCTGACTGTGGTTCGAGTTCTGAACCTGGCAGCTTGCTTTCTCATTCTCCCCTTCCCCCCTCCCGCCCCCACTATGTCCCTCTGGTCAAATTAAAAATAAATAAATAAAATTAAATAAAATACTTCTTTTTTAAAAAATCGCCCTGTATATATTGACATAGAATATAATTTTATTTTTTTGGAAAGAGATTTTTGCCATAGGGTATATGCACTCACCAGAGAGACAGAAAGAGAAAGCATGGGGAAAAAAAACCCACCCTGGGGGAAATGGCCATGCTGCAATCCTTTCTCCTCTATTCTCATCTCAAGATTTGGGACATGCACACACACACACTGGGTGTGAGTTTTAAGAATCTGGGTCTGGAACTCAAATTGTGGTTGACCATGGTTAAGCACTACGTCACCTGCTGGTCCAATAGTATATAATTTTCAAAAAGTTAATAACATGACATCTTGGACCAGCAGTTAGCGTAATGACTATGTCGCTGGACTCCCACGTAGTCAACCGTGGTTCGAGTCCCGGACCCGGTGGTGGCTTAAACTCATGCTGGACACGTGTGCGTGCATGCCCAAGATCCCGAGAGGAGAATGGAGGAGAAGGGATTGCGGCGTGGCCATCCCCTCTGACGGGGGTGATTTCTCGCTTTCTGTCTCTCTCTCTCTCTCTGTCTGTCTGGCGAGCGCATATGCCCTATAGCAAAAACCTCTCCAAAAAAAAAAGAAAACAAAAAAACAAAAAAAAAAACATGACATCTTGGAATCAACACATGGCATCATGGTTACATTGCTGGATTCCCACATATTTGACCACAGTTCAAGTCCCAAATCTGGTGGCTTAAAGTTCACACTGGGCATGTGTGTGTCCATGCCCAAAATCCTGAGAGGAGAATGGAGAAGGGATTGTGGTGTGTCCATCCCCCCCCCGGGGGGAGGGGTGATTTCTTGCTTTCTGTCTCTCCGGCAAATGCATGTGCCCTATAGCAAAAATCTCTCAGTGGCCTGGTGGTTAGGGGCACTGGAGTCCCACATACCCGACCATGGTTCGAGTCCTAGACCTGGTGGCTTGCTTTCTCACTTCCCTCTCTTTCTGTCCTTCTCTTGTCAAATTCAAACAAACAAACAAATAAATAAAGTTAAATAAAATAATTCTTTAAAAACAAACAAACAAAAATCTCTCTCACACACATACACAAACATGACATCACGGGGCCAGTAGATGGCATGGTGGTTAAGGTACTAGATCCCACATGGCCAACCACAGTTCGAGTCCTGAACCTGGCAGCTTGTTTTCTCACGCTCCTTCAATCTCTCTCTCTCTAGTCAAATTGAAGAATAGTAATAATAAATAAAAATATATTCATCTATTTCTAAAAGAAAAAAATGACTTCTAAATATAGAATGAACCTATAACTAAGATCAGCTTTTCACCAAACTGTTCTTTTTCAGTAAGATGATAGTGCACCTCGAGGAGCTGAATAAGGATAGGCATTTAAAGAGAAATGTTAGAATATGATTATTAGATGGACCAGCGAGAGGCATGGTGGTTAAAACACTAAATCCCAGGACCAGCAGATGGCGTAATGGTTACATCACTGGACTCCCATGTAGTCAACTGTGGTTCAAGTCCCAGGCCCAGTGACTTAAAACTCACACCAGGCATGTGTGCGTGCATGCTCAAAATCCTGAGAGGAGAATGGAGGAGAAGGGATTACAGAGTGGCTATCCCCCCTGGAGAGGGATGTCTTTTTTTCTGTCTCCCTGTCTCTCTGGTGAGCACATGCGCCCTATAGCAAAAAAACAAAAAACCCCTAGATCCCGCATGGCCAGCTCCACAGTTTGGTCCCAGATCCATGGCCTAAGGGATTTATCAGGCATATATACATGGGTGTCCAGGATCCTAAGAGGATGAGGGAGAGGGGATTGTGGCATGACCATCCCCAAACCCTCCCTGGTTAGATGATTTCTTATCTTTCTTTGTTTCTCTCCAGTGAGTGCATGTGCCTTATGAAAAAAGAAACTTTAGAAACATAAGAATATGACTATAGGTTAGATATAAAACTGGTGATGTCCTAAAAGACAATAAAAGTACAATTTTCAGGATTACTTTTAGAATTATTCATTCATTTAATTTTATTATTATTTTGTATTTGATCAGAGAGAGACAGACAAAAAAGAGGGAAAGTGAGAAAGCAAGCTGCTAGGTCCTGGACTCAAACTGTGGTTGGCCATGTGGGAGTGCAGTACCTTAATCACTACACCACCTGCCACCCCCCAGGGCTACTTTTTCTATGGACATAAATATTTTTCATGTACAATATCTATTTGTAATTTTCAACTCATTTTATGTATTTATTGAGTTTGTTACAGGGCACTTGTTCTCACCAGAGAGAGAGAGAATGAGAGAGAGAGGGAACGTGAGAAAGCAAGCCACCAGGTCTGGGACTCAAACCTGGCCATGTGGGGCCGGCAGGAGACATGATTATTAAAGGCTCTGGACTCCCACATGGCCTACCTTGGTTTGAGCCAGACCTGGCGGCTTGCGTGTGCGCGCTCGCTCTCTCGCTCTCTCTCTCTCTCATCAAAATTGAAGAATAATGATAATAAATAATTCTTTAAAAAAAAAAACTGGCCATGTGGGAGTCCAGCGCCTTAACCATCACGCCACCTGTTGGCCTTCTACTTGTAATTTTAGAATCTGAAAAATTAAAACAGCAAAACCAACTATATTACCAAGGGTAATTAAACAATCCTAGGCTGGGCTTGTGAAACAGTGCCCCAGGGTGACATTGAAAGGATATGTGGACTGGCTCTTTGGCCTAGTGGTTAAGGTAGCTGGATCCCAAATGGGTGACCATGGGTTTCTGTCCCATACCTGGAAGCTTAAGGGACATGCTGGGCACATGAGCATGGGTGCCCAAAATCCCAACAGGAGGGAGAGATGGAAGAGAAGGAATTGCAGCATGACCACACACAATTAGGGCATACTTTCTCCTCTCCCTCTCTCTCTTTCTATTTCTGTTAAACACATGTGACTTCTGGCAAGAGATTAAAACAAAAATAAGGCACTGAATTTTTTTTTAGGGTTTTTGTCATAGGGCACATGTGCTTGCTGGAGAGAGACAGACAGAAGGAAAGTGAGAAATCCCACTCCTCAGGGGGATGGCCATGCCACAATCCCATCTCTTCCACTCTCCTGTCATGGTTTTGGGTACCGAAAACTAAAAGGGGGGACCAGCAGATGGCATAATGGTTATGTCGCTGGACTTCCACATGGTCGGCTGCAGATTGAGTCCCAGACCCAGCGACTTAAAACATGCCGGGGGTGTGTGTGCGGGCATGCCCAAAATCCCGAGAAGAACAGAGGGACTGCGGCATGGCCACCCATCTCCCCCAGGGTGATTTCTTGTTTTTTGTCTGTCTCTCCAGCAAGCTCACACGCCCTATAGCAAAAATCTACCTAATAAAAAAGAAAAACAAAAACAGATTTTGGGTACACGCATACTTGTACCCAGTGGGATTCTCAAGCTGCTGGGTCTGGGACTCAAGCAACTATGGACGGCCAATAGTGCCTTAACCACCATACCACCTACCGGCTTGACATTGGATAATTTTTACAGCAGTATTCTGCAACTTAAAAAAAAAAAAAAAAAGACTGTAGACTTCTTGGAATAGATGTAAATCTTTAAATGCTTCATTTTCATAGGATTATAGCTTTATAGAGCCAGCCCTGTAGTGCAGTGGTTATGAGAACCATATTCCATATGGCTGGTTGCAGTTTGAATCCCAACCCACATGGCTTGAAAATATTCTGGACACTTCTGCCTGCATGTCCAAAATCCTGACAGGAAGTTGAAATGGAGGGAAAAAAGATTACAGTATGACTGTACACCAGTGGGGGATACTTTCTTTCTGGGAAGTGCATGTGCCCTCTAGTGTTTTTTTTTTTTTTTAAGAGTTATTTAATTTAATACTTATTTATTTTTATTTGACCAGAGCAAAAGAGAGAGGGAAAGTGAGAAAGTAAGCTTCAAGGTCCAGGACTTAAACCATGATTGGTCATATGGGAATTCAGTACAGTAACCATCATGCCACCTGCTGGCTCCTAGAGTGTGTGTGTGTGTGTGTGTGTGTGTGTGTATTTTTTTTAAAATAAAGACTGTAGCTTCATAGACTGAAATCTTCAGGCGTATTTGCTGAATGGTCTCTGAGCATCTCATTGATTCAGAGGTAAACAGACCAGATAGTAAATGTTTTAGGTTCCTTGGGCCAAACAGTCCCTGCCATTGTAGTGTAAAAGGAGCCACACATATGTAAACAAACAGATATGGCTGTGTTCCAATAAAACTTAAGGGGTAACAGCAGATGGGGTGATTTCTCACTGTCTCTCTCTCTCTCTGTCTTTCTAGTGAGCGCACGTGCCCGATAGCAAAAACCTCTCCAAAAACAAACGAACAAACAAACAAAAAAACCTTAAGGACACTAACATACGAATTTGAAAAAAGTTTTGAGTGTCAGGAATGATTTTTTCAATCATATTAAAAAAAACAAAAGCTCAAGGCAATACAAAAAAGGTGGTGGGCTGTGTCTGACCTACAGGAGTCCTGGCAAACAAGTGAATTTTTCCATTCCAGTCTCTCTCCCTACCAGCCTATAATAAGTAGTGTTTCAAGAGCCATGTTGGTGAACAGTCTTTTCCCCCATTCCAGCTCAAGTATCTCAAGTATTGCCTGTCCTCTTGAGTTCTTTACCTCTGTGAACTGCATCTTTGTCTGTGCCAGAAACCTAGGAATTACCCTCCACCTTTCTACCTAAGGTCTCACTTGACACATGCTATCAGTTACTTAAGATCTGCTGAGGGGACAACCCATTTTCGACAACCCCTCCTTCTTGGGAACTCTGTTTTCCCCTCCCCCTCCTTTAATAAACTCCCTGCTTTGCTATTTAAAAAAAAAAAAGAAAATCTGCCCAGGAGGACAGATGGTGTAATGGTTACATTGCTGAATGCCCATGTATTTGACCAGGGTTTGAGTCCCAGATCCAGGGGTTGGAAACTCTCGCTGGGTGCCAATGCGTGCGTGCCCAAGATCCCAGGAGGAGAGTGGAGGAGAAGGGATTGCAGCATGGCCATATCCCCTGGGGAGTAATTTCTCACCTCCCCTCTCACCGTCTCTGTCTCTGTCTCTCTCTGGTGAACACAGGCACCCTAAGGGAAAAACCTCTCAAAAATATATATATTTACATCTGCCGAGTTTGTCTTTAAGTACTATGTAATAGGGGATCACAATACGTGTATACCATAACTACCTGGATACTTTGAAAGAAGTGGAGGAAGCCCAATCTTTTAACTCAGCCACAGGGAATTATGAAGGCAATTCTGATGCAAATCGAAGGACCTGGCCTTAGAAACACTGCGCTATAGGCATTTAATCCTCGCTGCTTCCCGGTGAAGTATTTGCCTCAAGTTTAGGAATGGGGAAAATTGGGCTACTGCCCAGGTAGCCGGGTAGTGTCAGGATACGAGGTAACCCTCTCTCTGGCCCCATGGCCCGCATCCGTCAACTGCGTCTGACCACATATTCCATGGACCGCTTGCCTGCAGGGGTGCAGGATTGGGGCGCCACAACCTGCCTGTGTTCTGAGAGGGCAGCAACCAAAGACAGTTCCACAAAACCCTTCCCAGGACGCGGCGGAAACCTAGGTCTCCCTCGGAACCTTTTCACCCGGGGAGGATCTGTGCGGGGGAACTCGAGTCAATGGCTCCAAGGCAGCAGGGGGACGTTTCACCTGAAGGACCGCGTCGTTTCAACGACAACTTTATGGCTCCCGGAAGTGCCTCCTCCCGGTCCTCTTCCCACTCTCACGCCCGTGGATTGCAGTTCCAGCGATGGCGGCGGCAGTCGCCGGGACTGGACCTGGGGACTCCCCGGAGGGGCCCGAAGCGGAGGCTCCAGAACGTCGGCGGAAGGCTCACGGGATGCTAAAACTTTACTACGGCCTCTCGGAGGGGGAGGCAGCCGGGCATCCCGCCGGACCGGACCCCTTGGACCCGACTGATCTCAACGGGGCGCACTTCGACCCGGAAGTGTATCTGGACAAGGTGTGTGGGGTGGGGAGAGCAGGGTCTGATATATTGCACCCCCAGATCCTCCCTCCCACTTTGTTGCGGGCTTGAAGGGGGCGGAGGTTCATTAGAGGAGAATGACTCTCAGCCTGCCAGTAGGCAGAACTGGAGTCTAGACGAGATGTGTATTGGTTTGGACAGGCTGAAATGTTAGGGGGGGTCTCAGGTCTCCTGGGGTGATGTTCGGATAGGCCCCGGGCAGGGGACGTGGCCTGACAGGCGCGGGACTGGGCTTAGGCTGAGCCTGAGAATTTCAAAGGTTGGCAAACCCTTACTAAACCCCGGAGTCTTGGCTACCTGTGGTCCCCATATCTGGGACTCCTGATAGGATGGGATCAGTTTTATTCCACCTATCAGATTGGGGGCGAGGCTAGGAGACATGAGTGCACCCTGACCTGAACACTAACCACCCAACTTCTCTAGCTCCGTAGAGAGTGCCCTCTGGCCCAGTTGATGGACAGTGAGACGGACATGGTGCGGCAGATCCGTGCTCTAGACAGCGACATGCAGACCCTGGTCTATGAGAACTACAACAAGTTCATCTCAGCCACAGGTGATCCCCACTGGGACACACCACTCAGTCTCCTGTCCCCCATCCCTCTCTCCTGTGTTAGGAAAACAGCAGAGGATTTTGAGGGAGACCCAGATTCCATTGCTGCCCTCCCTGACATGAATCCATTCTCCCCTCTCTCTGAGCCTTTGTTGTCAAGTCAGACTGCTATAGAAGTAACAGCTGCTCTTACAGGTTGTTTTAAGGCCCATAGGGGAGAAGACTCAAAATGAAATTTTGGTTTTTTCCTTGGAAAGGTTTTTGCTATAGGGCACATGCACTTACCAGAAAGAGAGAGACAGAAAGCGAAAAATCACCCCCCGGTGGGGGAATGACCATGCTGCAATCCCTTCTCCATTCTCCTCTGGATCTTGGGCATGCTCGCACACATGCCTAGCATGTGAGTTTAAGCCACCAGGTCTGGGACTCTAACCATGATGGACTACATGGGAGTCCAGCAACATAGCCATTATGCCATCTGCTGGACCCTCAAAATGAAATTTTAAAATGAAACAAATATATTTGAAGCACTAGAAATAATTCCTGACACCAAAGAAGCCTCAGTAAGGTTTAGTTTCTCTTAGGGGTAGCTTTTGTGTATGGATCAGATCTACCTTAAGGGTGATCCTTCTCTCCCGTCCCTTTCCTAATTAATTGAAGTAAGGAGAAAATTTATAACATTAAGGGACACAAAGATCATGTAAAGACCTTTTTTTCCCTCTGTCTCCTTTATTCTCTAGTACTGGGGAGTTTTCAGCTGTCATCCACACTAGAATCACTCTTGTTCTAGGAGATGCACTGCTTGGATTTTTGTAGTAATTTTGGACCCACATGTACTTAGTTTAGGATTTAGACCCTAAGGGTTGGCCTGCAGTCATAGCATGTTCTGTGAGCATCTATGGGTTTGTATTCTGATATGTATTACTTTCTTTTTTTTTTTTTTTGCTATAGGGCACATGCACTTACCAGAAAGAGAGAGACAGAAAGCGAAAAATCACCCCCCGGTGGGGGAATGACCATGCTGCAATCCCTTCTCCATTCTCCTCTGGATCTTGGGCATGCTCGCACACATGCCTAGCATGTGAGTTTAAGCCACCAGGTCTGGGACTCTAACCGTGATGGACTACATGGGAGTCCAGCAACATAGCCATTATGCCATCTGCTGGACCCTCAAAATGAAATTTTAAAATGAAACAAATATATTTGAAGCACTAGAAATAATTCCTGACACCAAAGAAGCCTCAGTAAGGTTTAGTTTCTCTTAGGGGTAGCTTTTGTGTATGGATCAGATCTACCTTAAGGGTGATCCTTCTCTCCCGTCCCTTTCCTAATTAATTGAAGTAAGGAGAAAATTTATAACATTAAGGGACACAAAGATCATGTAAAGACCTTTTTTTCCCTCTGTCTCCTTTATTCTCTAGTACTGGGGAGTTTTCAGCTGTCATCCACACTAGAATCACTCTTGTTCTAGGAGATGCACTGCTTGGATTTTTGTAGTAATTTTGGACTCACATGTACTTAGTTTAGGATTTAGACCCTAAGGGTTGGCCTGCAGTCATAGCATGTTCTGTGAGCATCTATGGGTTTGTATTCTGATATGTATTACTTTCTTTTTTTTTTTTCCATGCCAGGAGGTTTGTTTTATTTTCGTTAATCATACAGATAATTTTCTATAATACCCCAGGGCACATTGGAGAATTTGGCAGTCCGATGGGGGTAGGGAGTCTCCTCAAAGACCCACAGGCCCATGACATCGGCAAGGAGTGCCCGGGGGGTTCACAGTGCAGCTTGTGGCTCATGTCCATCTTGCAGGTGATGCTTCCTCCATGACTGGGGGCTCGAAGATGACAGGGCGGGGAATCCTCCAGGCGCTTAGGAAATTTCACTCCGCTTCTCCTGCTCAGTGGTCTCTTTGGTCGGCAGGGTGTTCTCCTGCGTCTCCGTTTTCTTCAGCTTGGCCTTATCAAAGCTGACGGTTTCCCCCATGTCCGGTTTGTCTGCCATTTTCTTGAAACCATCCGCCGTGTCTCACTCTGAGCCTGGCTCCTGGTACTCCCAGTCGAAAAGCTGCAGCAAGAGCTGATATATGTATTACTTTCTTAATGTCACAGTGGCAGGTGTAGTAACACATGTAGAACTCATTGTTCTTGTTCTCTGATTTTGAGCAGATTTACCAAGTAGCCCCCTCTTTATTACCAGCATCAAAACATCAAGAAATCATAATTTCTGTGCTGATGAAATTCTCACAGGAATTGTATAAACATTGCATTTTCCATTTGTTGGAATATGCATATTTTTTGTTTTACTTTGGTTAGATTTTGTTTTTGTTTTTGTTTTTGTTTTTTTCTGTAGGGTGTGAGCACTCGCCGGAGAGAGAGAAAGTGAGAAATCAGCCGCACGGGGTGGGGGGGTGGGGGGATGGCCATTCCACAATCTCTTCTCCTCTATTTTCCTCCTGGGATCCTGGGCACAAACACACGTGCACCCAGCATGAGTTTCAGGCCACCAGGTTTGGGACTGAAACCATTGTTAGCCATGTGGGAGTCTAGTGATGTAACTGCTATAGCATCTGCTGACTCCACCCAGTGTGCTTTTCAAGCCACCAGGTCTGGGATTCAAACTTCAGTGTTGGCCACACGGGATCCAATGTCTTGACTTCTGTTTTAAAATGACCTTTTGTTGAGGCTGGCAGGTGGCATGGTTGAGGGCATTGGATTCTCATGTGGCTGATTTAAGTTCAGGTCCTGGACCTAGAGGCTTGCTTTCTCTCTCTCTCTGTCCCTCTCTGATCAAATTAAAATAAATGAATAAATAAAGTTAAACAAAATAATAATTTTAAAAGAATTATTTAACTTTCTTTATTTTAATTTTTAATGCAAAAGCAAGCAGCCAGGTCCAGGACTCGAACCAAGGTTGACCATGTAGGAGTCCAATGCCCCCAACCACCACACTACCTGCTGGCCCCTAAATAAAACAATTCTTTAGAAAAAAATAATAATAAGGACCAGCAGATGATGTAATGGTTACATCATTGGTCACTGGACTCCCATGTAGTTGACCGTGGTTCATGACCTAGTGGCTTAAAACCAATGCCGGGCATGTGTGTGTGCGTGCCCAAAATCCCAAGGGGAGAGTGGAGAAGAAGGGATTGCAGCATGGCCATCTGCCTGGGAGGTGCTTTCTCACTTTCTCTCTTTCTTTGGCAGGCACATGCATCCTATAGCAACAACTTAAAAAAATTAAAAAAAACACATCCTATAGCAAGAGCCTCTTTAAAAAAAAAAAAACAGTTAAATGACCTTCTGGGGACCAGTGGATGGTGTAATGGTTTTATCCCTGAATTCCCATATAGTTGACCGCAGTTCGAGTCCTGAACCTGGTAGCTTAAAACTCATGTTAGTCACATGTGCGTGTGTGTCCAAAATTCCTAGAGGAGAAATGGAGGAGAAGGGATATGGTGTGGCCATCTCCCCTAGGGGTGATTTCTGTCTGTCTGTCTCTCTGGTGAACACACACGCCCTATAGCAAAAATCTCTGTTAAAAAAAAGAAAAGGAAGTAAGTGGAGAAAGCATTCTAAACTAAGGAGAGTAATGTATAGCCTGGTGTACTTATTGATTAGATAAGAGAGAGAGAAAAAGCTAAGAAAGGAGGAGCCAGCAGGTGGCATGGTGGTTCAGGTGTTGGACTTCCCACATGGCTGACCACAGTTCCAAGTGTCAGACCTGGCAGCTTGCTTTCTCACTTTCCCTCCCTCTCTTTCTGTCTCTCTCTGGTGAACTCATGTGAAAGAAGAATAATGATAATAAAATAAAATAATTCTAAAAAAAAACAAAAAAAAAACAAAAAAAGCTAAGAAAGGAACAAAGTCCTCAGGAAAGAGAGAGGGGGTAGAGCAGATGGCCGTACAAAGGGTTGAAAGCTCATCTGTTGTAGCTCCTCCATTGCAGCGGTAGAGCCAGGCAGGTAGATGTGGCAGAGTTTGACTAGAGGCCATTCAGTCAGGCTGGGATTTTGCCTTTATCCACAGTGCTAAGCCAACGTGTTTAGACAGACAAGTGATGTGATTAGATTTATGTTTTGAAAACACAGCTGCAGCTGCACTGAGAAGATGGCTTGGAGAGGAGGCAGGAGTGGGGCCATTTCTGAGATTCTGAGAACTTTGTCTAGGACGGCAGTGATGGGGATAGACAGTGATGGCAGACTAACAAGGATTTGAGGGCGGTACTGAAAACTTGGCATGGAGGAGCTTTGGACATAAAGAACGAAACTAGGTTTCAACTGAAGCACTAGATGGTGGTTATAGCAGCAAACAAGACAATCTTGTGCTGTCGCAGGACATTCATTCTGGAGAACGTACATTCTAGACAGATAAAGAAGATAAGGTCATTTGCCTTTGGACAGAAGCTCTGAGAAAATAAAAAGAATAATATGAAATAATGTAAATTATTGAAGAGTGAATGGTAGGGATTAAATTAGAAAATGGTAGAGAAGTGCCATTCTGGAGCGGTGATGAATAAGGTGAATGCTGAAGAGTGAGCCACAGGAGGATGCAGTGGCAGAATACCCCAGACTGAGGAAAGGACTACGCAGAGGCCCTGGGAAAGCTCTCCAGTGCAGGAAGACAGAAATGTTGGGGACGAAAGGAACAGGGCCTGACTGCAGACCAGGGCTCAGCGTACTTTTCCTAAAAAGGACCAGGAAGTAGACATTTTATGTTTTAGGGGCTCTGTTGACTCTGTTGCAGCTATTCAGTTCTACCACTGTAAGACTGAAAGCATCCACAGAGAATATTTAAATGAGCAAGCAAGTGATGATATTCTGAGTGACATCAAAAATGGTGAAGGAGGAACCAGCAGTTAGCATAATGGCTATGTTGCTGGACTCCCACGTAGTCGACCACGGTTCGAGTCTCAGACCTGGTGGCTTAAACTCACGCCGGGCGCGTGTGCGTGCGTGCCCAAGATCCCGAGAGGAGAATGGAGGAGAAGGGGTTGCGGCGTGG